CCCCATAGTTCACTGGCTCTTGAGTGGGCTAAGGTTGGAGGACTGTGTGATCAATGGGGAAGTCAGTTAAAAGAAGCTAAACCACTGGATGTATTGAAATGTATCCAAAAATTGCATACTCAAAAAGTAAAAGACCTTGTGGGCTTGGGAAAACGAGGATGGATTTTGTTAACAGCACATAAAAAAAAAACACCAACAGAAGGAACAGTTGTTGTTGAAATGCTCTAACATGAAGCAACAGATCTCTGAGTTGCAGAATTAAATTGTAATGTTACAGTGTCAAAAAAAACTGCTTACTGATAAGTTGGACACTTACCAGACTGTAGCCAAGAAGGCTGCAGTTCAAGTGGCTCATTAGAAGTATAAGAAAAGAAGGGTGCAAGTGAATCACAAGCAAGTGCATACGGTGATTACAGAAGCAGGTGTACAGAGGAATCCCAATAAATGGGATGGAGATAATTGGGATTCTATGGATTCCAATGAGGCTTGATACCTTAGGTTTTAAGTTTTTCTGTTCTGTTTTGGTGTGCAGTGTAGCAGGCACAGGGCCTGCAAGGGCCCCGTGGCGAGCAGAAGCCTAAAGATAGGAAATGCTAAGTCATGGTGAATGGGCTAGAAAGACCCTTTTCTGCCTTTGGACACCTGCTTATCTCTCTGTAACCCTATAGGTCACTTTCCTTTAACCCTTGCTATTGGACAATTTCTGATCCCCCTGTATCCTATATAAAGGGTTGTTTTAGCCTGGTTCTGGTAGAAGAGCTGTCACTGGAACCCTTCTCAGAAGACTCAATAAAGACATCACTGTGGAACTCCAAATGGACTTCTCTCTCCCCTGCGTCTGCCTGCCTGCGGCACCTAGCAAGCTAAGAGCTGAGATCACAATGAGCTGATAATCACTAAAGAGCTGATATCACTTGAGCTTGCTTAGGTTGCCAGTGGCTGAGAACTGCTTGGGTACTTGGGCAGTCTGTCCCGGAGAGGACTGCGCTATCCAGACCCATGCGGCCTGCTGGAAGACACCCTGAACCCAGCAGGAGGCCGTATTAGTGCAGCTTTAAGCTTTATATTGTGTTACTAGGATCTTTTCACAGGGTGGTGAAGACAAAACAATCCTATTCTAGCTGGGGACTCACGGACAATCTCTTCAAACTTCGGGCCCAAAGCATAAACAACGTGAAAATAGGAGGGCGAGAAAGTAAGCAAGGAGGATGAAACTTCATAATTTGAAGCTATTAATTGGACAGTTAACTCCTATATGCAAATGGACTAAAACTTATTAAAATGTGAGATCCTGTGATCAAGCCCTCTTTTGCTTCCATCTTGGAGTCACCTGGGCAGAGCCACGACTGTGGCTCTGGTACTGCCAGGGTGTGGCCTTTGAAGACACTTCAATAAATATCCACTTTATTCCTCTTAACTCCATCTAGCCTCTGTTCCAGCTCCTAAAGGCATCAGGCTGGTTCCCCAGATGAATTTGTTGATGTGTGACCAGCATGGAGATGAAAGATAGAACTGGAGGACAGGACAGAAGCTAATGGTCAGCATGTTAGCAGAGATGTGACAGAGGATTATACTCAGCATGAAGTAAATTATATAATTGAATGGTTTAGGTAAAGAGCAGGGAAACCCCTCCTCTCTTGAATGGTGCATTTGCACTATTAGGGAGCATTTGGGGTAACCCTAGACTCAGGGAACTCTAAGAAATTTTTAGTTTTGAGCTCAGCTTCTTTTGTGCGGGATGCATTTTGGAATAATGTTCACAATACTGATTTGTTAGTTTTGGCTGCTCAAGGATATAATGCTCAATACCCTACAGAAAATGGATAGGATCTGAACATCAGTGGTATACTTTGCCAGACTGTATAAAATAAATAAAGAAGGAGGGAATGAGATCAGCTATCTTTATTGGAGATGCTGATTCTACAATGCGGAATGCTTTGTCTGTTACTGTCAGAAATAAACTGATTAGGATGGCTCCACCAGCATATAAAAATGTAATCATGGCTCTCTTGATTTAGGAGACAGGGAATCCCCTGGATGAAGTAATTGAGAAAATGCAGCAGTTGAGTAACCTTGTTAAATGGGGCCCATGGGGAAGTGCAGGAAATCAAGACACTTGAGATAGCTATAAGGGGAGTGAAAACAGAATTCCTCATAAGGAAATGTTTCTGGCTTTATTAAAGGATGGTATGTCTCGGGAGAAACTTGATTATGTTCCAACTCATAACTATGGCCGATCTATTAACAGAGAAGGTTGAATAAATGTAGTAAGAAAGTGCAAAATTCTGTGGCAAACAATCCAGGAACAACTCAGCCTATGTCATCCCTGCCGGAGACTCAACAGGATTTCACATCTGCTCACAAAGGGCCCTCTCCAAGTGGATCGGTTATTCCAGGGGAAAAGGCAGATTGGGAATCATATTCTGATTTGTATCCTTGGAAAGAGATTAGGGAAATTGTTGCTGTGCAAGCTGATGTGTAGATAGCATTTATCCAGTTATAAATAAGAAATCCAGCCCAGCTTCATTAACTAGCTTCTGGGCTGACTGACTGTTGAAGATTGCAATGCAAGTTGTTTTCAATTACCATCTGTATGGCAGATTACCTTTGTCAAGTGGGCAGTTTGCTTTATCTCTCTCTTTGAGTGACCACATTCACACCTCCATCGGGAGGGGACATCTGCTGATAACAGACTATTGAATGTAACAGCATGACTGATAAGAACTATAACATTCCATGGTGAGATGCTTCGCCCAGAGGGAGAAGCCAAGCATTGCTACCCAGATATAATCCAGAAGTTTTTGAGACACCGGAACAGCTTTCTCCACGGGATTCCCCAGAGAAACAGCAGCTGTCTTCTTCTTCCACGGGATCTTCTGAGGCAAAGAGGAAATTTTCCAGGGTAGAAATCCATTTTGATTTAGGTGAAATGTACATTTTTGAGTTGAGTCTGTGTTCAGAAAACATAGCTATTTAGCCTGACTGCAGAACCTAGGCTCAGAGAAGTTGCTTCAGTGAAGGACAGAGATAAGGGGGGAGAGACAGAGGGTGATAGAGAGAGACAGAGAGACTTCTGAGAGAGCAGGTCAGCCTGACCTAGGAATTCTTTCTGATAAAGAAGAACTAGCAGCAAATGTCACGCGAAATTCATAAAAATGAATATGTATGAACCTATTGTGAAATTGTAAGCATATGTATCTGAGAGGGAGATAAAAAGAGACCTGAAGTTCCCAGAGGTATGCATGTCATTTTAGGGGAACGATTCCCACATGCATCCAGCGCTGTAATAAACATACCGGCTTTACAACTTCCACAACAGTTGTGGGGTTTTGATTATCGCCACAAAACATTCTGGCACCCCAGATGGGACCGTCTCTGTCCCCGCAGGGGCAGAAGGGATAGACGGACCTCCAAGGCACGCCCCCGGGATTTTCCCGGAGGAGCTCTGCTCATTTTGGCTTGCCTCCTGAGGAGACAGACAAGGACCTGCTGGTATGCGGAGGATACGGTATGTATTGAGGGACCCCCGGGAGAAAAGAGAGATAGGACGGCTGAATAAGTCACTCAGAGACGTCTGAGTGCTCAGCCTGTAGATGCAGCTGATAGAGCACCTGGACTAGAGACAGAGGTTCACTGTCTGATAGAGCGGCCGCTAGCGACCCTGGGGATAGGTCAAGTGAACCTGTGTGTGTGTGTGTGTGTGTGTGTAGTGTCCGGACACTGTATCATTGTATGGTAAATGCATTGTGTAGTTAATAGTAATGTGTCTGTAATCATGCGAGTGTGTAGCGTATGAAAGAGAGAGCGAACAAGTAAGTTCACCCATAGCATGGGAGGGTGAGTTCTACCTGTGTTTGAAGCAGCCGGGTGAGGCTTGAGTTGCCGGCTGCGGCAGGCTGTAGGGGCAGGGAGTGCCCTGCAAAGAAGTGGAACAAGTGGAGAAACGTCAGTGAAGATATTTATTGTGTTTAAATTTGGTGATTTGTGTAGATTTGGCACATTTTAACCATGAGTACAAGCTCAAGGAGTTCCTTTGCCCTGGTAGTTTGGACTTGATCTCCAGAATTTTACTGTGTGCTGTTATTTTGATTGTGTCCAGAGAAAGCTGATGTAGGTAAATGCTGAATTATTGTATGCTGTGTTGTGTTGAGAAAAGTAAGCACTTTGAGAGATATGCCCTTTCCCAGTGATTTTGTGTGGTTCTTCCCCCGCATTGTAGTAATTTGATTCTCGGATTGAATAGTGGTGTTTGTGGAGATTTTAAGATTTTGTTTGCAACAAGTGTAGCATTTTACACAGAAGAACTATGATATGGTGATTTATGTTTAACTGTAGTAAAGTGAATTAAAGGAATTCCAAGAATTCCCCCCCACAGCAATTCAAGCCCTGGCTCTAGTGAATTTGAGATAAGAGGTGTGTGTCTGTCTGTGTTTGTGAGCATATCAGAGTTTTTGCTGTAACAAGCACAGCCTTTTGCAAGGCAGTAAAGTGAGTGTCAGTAGAAACAATGCTTTAATTAGATTGTGCAAGAAGAGAAAATAAAAAAGACTGACATTTTGTAAAACAAAGTTTAAATAGAAGAGATGAATGAGTTTATGGGACTTCAGTAGGTATTATAGTAAGCTTAGACTGAGAACAACCTGCCGTAGAGGTTAAGTGATAAACGCCAAAGTAATAAACGAGATAGCCTGCAAGCAATTCCTGGGAGTTTTTAGTGCATTGAGAGGCTGGCACCTTGTATGCAATGCAGAGTTTGCGAGAGGCGCCGGTATTGCTGTTCTGTGTCTTAAGTGTAAATTAAACGTTCCTGATCAAGCCAATTCAGAACCTGAGATCTTAAAGCTTGTGTGTGGAGAATCACATCTAATACCTGCCACCTGAATGTTTGTGTATGAAGAAAAACTGAGAAAAGACACTGTGAGGCTTGGGGGGAAACAAGATAGCATAAGGGGAAGGAGATAATGAGAACTAACCAGAGCAAAGAAGTTCCTGAACTAAACACTTTAGGGAGGGGCTCACTGGGACAAGGCTGCCAGTAGGAGCGGCTCAGAAAATAAAAAGATTTATAATACCTCATTGCAGTTAATGCGGTTTTAAAATGAGAAAGTAAATGAGATAAAGTCCCGTATGCTGATATGATTTTTTGCCTTAAGAAATCACCCAGAATGGCAGAGTAACTGTGGGTTCAGAGCTCCCTCTGACCTACTGGTGTAGTTCTTGAAAAAAAAAAAAGAAAAAAAAACAAAGCAAAGAGAAGGCAAATCAAATGTGTTGTTCAGCATGCAGGATAAGATAGCAATGTATGAAGTCAGACAAAGATTATCATGCTGAAATGCAAAGCGATTACATTTCGCAAAATGAGTACGTATGATTTGTTTCAAGCTCCTCCTAAAGTAAGGGAGGAAGGATAAAGATGACCTCCCCAAAAGGGAAGAGGACTCAGGCTCCAAAAGTATACCCATTTGCACCCATCTCCTTCGTAGCAGTACAATTTCATCCAGAACTAAGAGGTAACAGACCCCTCTGTGAGAGGCAGTGAGATCAGAAGAAAGAAAAGGGTAGAATTTTAGTTGATACAGGGGCCATATATTCAGTTTTAAATAAAGCTTTAGTACCTGTGGAGAATGTTTATGTTGTAGTGTGGAGAACAACTGGCCAGTCTGAGAAGGCATACTTTTGCAAACCCTTAAAGTAATGTGTACTTAGAAGCTTTTGTATATGCTCAAATCGGTAAACATTCTCAAATGAGGAGGTTACTCTAGAAGCAAATAATATAAAGATGTTAGGCTTAATATTAACAGCCATTGAAATTAAGAAAGACATTAGTAAAGCGATGTTAGAATAAGTAAATAAGTATTTTCGGAGGTATAGGCCTCTGCTGTACCAAGGAAAGTGAAAAATGCCCCCCATAGTAATCAAGCTTAAAGAAAGAACACAACCAGTGAGAATTGAACAGTACCCCCTCAAAAAGAAGATAAAGAAGAAACCAGCCCAATAATTGATAGTGCTAGATTGAGAGCTGTCAATAAGATAACAAAGAATTTATACCCTGTGGTAGGAAATCCATAAACTTTACTAACTTGTTTAACACCTGAGCTAACCTGGTTTACTGTTTTAGACCCGAGAGATGCCTTCTTTTGCCTCCCTATCCACGAAGCCAGCCAGAAAATTTTTGCATTCGAATGAGAAAGCCCTAGAAGCAGTGCAAAACACAGCTCACATGGTCCATGTGCCTGAAGGCTTCAAAAATTCCCCCACTCTGATTGGAGAACAACTTGCAAAGATCCAGAGTCCTGAGAAGCTCCACAAGAAGAAGAAAGGCTCTTGCAGTACATAGATGATCTTCTAGTAGCCACTCAGAAAGAAGAAGTATGTGTGGCCTAGACTGTAAGCCTTTAAAATTTCCTAAGACTGCAAAGATACAGAGTATCAAAGAAAAAGGCACAAGTAGTGAAACAGAAAGTAATCTACCGAAAGTACGAAGTCAATGCTAAGCAACAGACTTGAGGGCAGGCTTGCAAAGAAGCCATATGCCAAGCCCCAAAATCCAAGACAACAAAAGAACTCCGAACCTTCTTAGGCATGGCAAGGTAGTGCCAGCTGTGAGTTTATAATTATCGACTGCTTATCAGACCCCTCTATGCTCTTATTGCCAATGGAAACAGAGATCTCCAGTGGACAAAAGAAGCCACACGGGCCTTTCACCAGCTAAAGAGTGCCCTCATGTCAGCTCCAGCTTTGAGACTTCCAGATGTAAGTAAACCATTCTTTCTATTTTCCCATGAAAGACAAGGAATTGCCCTGGGAATACTAGCTCAAGACAGTTGCTTACTTCTCTTAGCAACTAGATGCAACAGCCAAAGGATGGCCAGGTTGCCTCAGAGCTGTAGCAGCAGTCGTGCTGAATATTCAGGAGACACCCAAGTTTACCCTGGGACAAAAATGACTGTGCTATTTTCCCATACAGTGTCCGCAGTACAGGCAGTAAAGGGTAGCCACTAGTTCTCACCATAGAAGTTCCTGAAATACCAAGCCATCATAGTAGAGCAAGATGATGTAGAGATAGTAGTGACTAATATTGTCAACCCAGCTTCTTTTCTCAATAGAATCAAAGAGAAGCAGTACACCACGATTGCCTAAAGACCATTAAAGCTACTTACTCCAGATGCTCAGACTTGAAAGACACTCCTCTAGACAATGCAGAGACCTAGTTCACTGACAGGAGCAGCTACATTGCCAGTAGAAAGTGACATGCTAAGTACACAGTGACTACCTGCAGAGAGGTAATAGAGTCTAGACCCTTACCAACAGGTACCTCTGCACAGAAGGCTGAGATAAATGCCCTGACCCATGCCTTAGAAACAGCAAAAAGAAAAGAAAATAAACATCTATACAGATTTAAGTTATGCATTCAGAGTCGTGCATGCACATGGAGCCATCTAGAAAGAGAAGAGACTGCTAACCTCACAAAGAAAGAAGAGACAATCCAGCTGCTAGATGCAGTTCAGCTGCCTGAAAAGACATATTAAGGCACACCAGAGAATGAACTCAGAATTAAAAGAAAGAAATAAGCTGGCAGATGGAGAAGCAAAGAAATCAGCAAAAGGTGAGGTAATTATGGACAGATTTTCCTCGAAGGTAAGCCAGAATATAATAATACTAATCAAAAGAGACATGCAACCATAAAGAGTGGGCTACCATTGAAAGAGAGCTAGTAATCCCTTCCCATTTTCATAGTCACTAGTGAAAGAAGAGCACTAGAAAACACACTAGGACCTAACTACTTAAAAGCTTTTATAAAGTGTTGCTCCTTTCCCAGAATGACCAAGGCTGCCAGTATTATAGAGTGCATCAAAATGAAGTCTTGACTTTGAAGTAGTAGTTTCCACAGGCTTTCTAGAACACACATCTGATTGAAAGAATCGTAGCCAAGAATTTATATGCCACTATCACTCAAGTAAACCGACAGTGAGATCCTTGCCTCCAGACTAACCCCAAAAATACCCCCAGGCCGAAACTCAGTCAGACTGAGAGAGGCCATGAGCCTGGACAGCAGTGGCAAATTGACTTTTCAGAACTCCCAAGGAAAGGAGGGTATTGGTATATACTGGTATTGACAGATACATTTTCAAGGTAGCTAGAAGCATACCCCGCCAAAACTGTCAAAGCTCGAGAAGTGACCAGGGTATTATTACAAGAAATAATACCACGCTTCAGAGTTCCAGCCACAATATTCTCGGATAGAGAATCACATTTCATTTCCAAAGTAGTGCAACAGATTAGTAGCCACCTGGGCATAGATTGAAAACTTCACACTCCATAACGCCCCCAATCAAGCAGCCAGGTAGAGAAAATGAATCATTTGATTAAGCAGCCGATTATAAGACTAGGGCAGGAAGTTAATCTACCCTAGCCCCAAGATCTTCCACTGACACTATTGCAAATTCGAACTAAACCTCGGGCTAAAGGAAAGCTGAGTCCTTTTGAAATGCTTTATGGAAGACCATATAGAATACAAAAGGGAATGTCCACCCACATTGGGGAGGTAACACTGGCCACCTACATGGTGGCTTTAAGCAAACAGCTCAGAGAAATTGAGAAACACGTGGCTGGAACTCGGAGCAGGGAGTTCGATGGGCCAGTACATAACATACAGTCTGAAGATTATATATATGTTAAGCCTCTTGCAGAAAAGACTTTAGAACCACAGTGAGAGGGACCACTGCAAGTACTTCTCACCACCTTCACCGCAATCAAGATCAAAGAGCAGAATGCCTAGATCCACCACTCTTGAGTGACGAAAGCCCCTTAGAGAGTGCCATCAAGAGACAATGAACTGAGATTAAGCTTACTCAGACAAAATGAGTATATTGCAGCCGGGGGTAGTTTGTAATTTCATTCACAGAATTGTTGTAATTTCATTCACAGAATTGTTTTAGCACTTAGTACAGTTCAAGATAATATGTCTTTAGCTTTCAGTTGTATACAAGCACAGTTATAGATGCAAGCAACAGCAGCTCTGATCATATGAGAAAGAAGTGAAAGTAATTTTCCAGCTGAAATTCAGAAAGTTGTCTGAGATAATGCAATTGATTTTGAAAAGAACTTTCAATCCTAGTAGACTATGGTAAATTTCACCTATTATCCTGCTTCTAATGTAGCCACTGCCTTTGTGCTCACCATATGTAATGCCATTGTTTACGTTATCCATCCCATCATTGCACTAAGATTAAATCATAAAAAAACAGTGCCCTACCCTTTAGAACATAGAGTGCAGGCACAAAAAGTGAATGAAAAGTAGCAAACAGTAAACATAGAATCCTGCATTACTAGAGAACAGCTGAAATTCATTTGTGAAAGTAATACTATTAATGCCCAAGATGTGTGTCTAGGCTCTGAACAGAGTATTTGCCACTTCGAAGTTCATCCAGTCACTGACCAGAAAACTGTGCTCGTATATACTCTTAAAGAGTGTGTGTGCTTAAAAACTGCTTGTGCTGCTCTAAAAATTGATAACAACAATGCTATTTTGTCTAGCAGAAATAATTCTAATTTTTGTATTTGTAATTTGTTAAGATTATCAGGTGTAGTTTTTCGTACTTAGCCCGAGTGACATCCCACCAGTTGATTAAAACCAATTACACAATGTATCACAGACTATCACCTACTCCTATTAGAATAGACCTTACATTAGTAAAACAATTAATTAAGCACCAAGACCTACTGGAGATCTTAAAGAAAAACCCAAGAAAGCAGAGAAAACTGGCCAACATGATATAAAAAGAAATAACTAGAATTCTGCAAAGAATAAAACAAAATGCAGATCATCACTAGTAAGATGTGGTCTTTGAGTAGTCACCAACTGCAAATAGAATCTTTAATAAGTTGTGTCATCCCATTGTAGTTTTGTTAATATTAGTTAGAATAAGTTTAAAATTATCCATTATGTTGCTAATTTAGAATTAGAAAATACTACAGTGTTGCAGTGTGATGCCCCTCAGGTGTGCCAAACTT